GTGCCCGTCCCCATGTGCCCGTCCCCATGTGCCCGTCCCCACGTGCCCGTCCCAATGCGCCCGTCCTCATGTGCCCGTCCCAATGCGCCCGTCCCCATGTGCCCATCCCCACGTGCCCGTCCCCATGTGCCCATCCCCATGTGCCCGTCCCAATGCGCCCGTCCCCATGTGCCCGTCCCAATGCGCCCGTCCTCATGTGCCCGTCCCAATGCGCCCGTCCCCATGTGCCCGTCCCAATGCGCCCGCCCCATGTGCCCGTTCCATATGTGCCCGTTCCATGTGCCCATCCCCATGTGCCCGTCCCCACGTGCCCGTCCCATGCGCCCGTCCCCATGTGCCCAGCCCCATGTGCCCGACCCCACGTGCCCGTCCCATATTCCCGTCCCCATGTTCCCATCCCCCATGCATGTGCCCGTCCCCATGTGCTCGTCCCAATGCGCCCGTCCCAATGCGCACGCCCCATGCGCCCATCCCATGCGCCCGTCCCCAAGCGCACGTCCCATGCATGTGCTTGTCCCCATGTGCCCGTCCCAATAAGCCCGCCCCCATGTGCCCGTCCCCATATGCGCACGTCACCACGCATTAATTACTGTCGCTTGGTCAGGACGGAAGCGGCGCTGGTAATTCGCTGCCTCGCGTCCTCGTCGCGCTCTGCACGTCGACCGTTAATTGACGTGCCAAGTCACGTCACTATCTGATAATAATTGGTAATTTACCCACGAATTTTTTTGCAAATTTCCATCCGCGTATAATAATTGAGAGAGAAATCACGAGCAATCAGATTGGATGTTTCTATTAAATGCACGGACGTACGAATCAGTGAAATATCTATGTTTATTTCGGAGAATTTGGAGTTAGTGAATATCAGACGTTCCATGGGTTACATGATCAGCGATCATAATGCGTTCATGATCATTTGAAAAGAACGTTGATCAACAATTCAAATTGGACAACGACTGAGATGATCCGGGCATTATCGACGTCATGAGAATTTCCCGTGATCTTGTCACGTGACGTAACTCAGGCAAGAGGAAACCAAGGCTACAGATCAGCTATGGCTGATGCCAGGGAAGAGTAGGACGAAAGCTGGATGAGCTGGAGGACACAATCGCATATTATTGCACTGGACAAAAACCAGGAAGCTGGAAGTAAACTGCAGCTGATGAGTGTATTCAATTGGTTGTATTGCGGGGTTCAATCCAGTAAGTTGGATAAAGGTAGTGTAGGCCAATAGATATTGGGATACAGAATCCACTGACTGCATGGACTAAAAGAAGGTGAGGGGATCTTTTTCGAGGAAGGAAAGGAGTTCAGGTGCGAAGTTGGAGGGAACGAATTCCGTGGGTGTTGAGGGATGTAACGAAAGGCTGTTGGTGAAGAGGAACTGAATTCCGGAGTCCGTTTGAAGGGAAGCCAGGCGTGGCGATGTACGGTCAGGCACGCAGGTCTGGCAGAGGCGTGGCCTGAGACTGGCAGGCGCAGGTTGCAGGACGGCAGGGGGCGCTGTGCTGCGCTGTGCACGGCCTGGTCCAGGCAGGCAGTCTCAGTCACGCGTGAGGCGCGGTGCGGGCAGGTGTGTGCTGCAGCGTCGCAGCTTACTGCACTGTCATCCCGCACGCCAGGTGGGCGAGCGCCCAGGTAAGTGCTCACTCACCCTCAGGTCAGGCCATTTGTGCTCAGTTGCTCCAGTCGAATTTAGTGTTACGAACAAAATTTCTGATGCTTGTAACTAATATTAGGCGCCATCAATGCAACTGTTATTCCATTATGATAATACTATTATTATTTTCAACCGTAGCATAGCTTGTATTAATCGACCACCTATTAGAGCCACCAGATCACAATGCACTATTTCCCAACGAGTTGGGTCATCTTCATTCGAGATCTTTGAACGAGCTTTTCAAATTTGTATCTCTGTACGATCCACTGCTAATGGTGGAGCTGTAAATAACATTGAAAACTTTGTTCATTTTTCTTATGATTTCCCTGGTGTTCAGAACACTCTAATAACCATCAACAATCTTAGCTTGACTTCAGCGAATGCTTTGATCAGTTTTAAAGTGAATTTTGATTTGCGGACTGCAAGTCATTCTGTGATGAATGATCAACAACGTATGAAGAGTAGAGTCACATTGTCAATGTGGTCATAACTTTGAAATTGTCGTAATTCATATGATTGCATAGAATTTTTACATGATTCTTTGCTACTACGTCCTTCAGTAAAATCATCGTCTTAATTGTTTTACGACGATCGCAGCACGTTGATATCGTCCATATTTTAGGCTACCTTAATTGATAACTTCATTAGTTATTGATATTGTATCGCATATACGCGAGTCTGTAATTTATTTTTGAGCAGCGCAACTATGCTCCGAAATAAAGCCCGCATAGAACTAACTAGGAAAAATTTTTTGCACGTCATACAAACGCTGCTAAATATAGTCCGGCCATATGGGGCGGCCTGTCGTCTCATGGGCCACGCAGACCCAACTAGTTATGCTCTCGTTACCTGCACTCGGAGAATTGAGCGAGACTTTGTCCACTTTGCGATAGTTTTTTTCTCGTATGGGTCAACCTTACAAAGTTTGTTTTATATTGTTCTATAAATTAATTAAATTAATTTCTTACTTTTTAATTTTGTACCTGAGGTCATTTACGTACCGATAAACGTGTGAATCCTCAATATGGATGATTGAAAATTCAATGAATGAAGTGAAGTTAGATAATATTTTAATTCATAGCTATTTTTTTGTCGCAGAAGAAAAAGTAACCGTAAAACTAATACAATCGTCTTGATTTTCGAAGATCCGCGACCACTGAATTACTGTGGAATTTATGGTCGTGGTAAACGATACTTTTATTAACCTACATGCAGATTAATTAAGTGGAAGCTTTGTAAATTATTGTTGCTTTCATAATTTAATGAAAACAAATAACTGGCAATTTTTTACAGGATTCAGAATAACTAATAGGCCTATGGTAAAGTCATTCCCTGTAATTTGTAACCGCTTTTACCTTAATATATTTCCGCGCGTCTCCTGATAATAATAATTTTACATGCATTTGTCGAAATTTGCGTGAGTATTAGAAAACTGGCACCACAAATATATAAGGGCTGTTGGAGCGCGTATCCATGCAGGACACTTAGCGTATGGGGATTTTATATGGACCTGAAATTTGACTCATAGTGATAAAATAGATAAGGACTGGGGGAGAGGGAGGATAGAATGGGAACAAAAATTGAAATTATATTTTCAAATTCTTCATAAATAAATTTAATTTGCAAGAGATTTTTTAACATATTCTGAAAAGATAGTAAAATTAAAGTCTTATTTTCTATGAAAATTTGGATTTGCAGGGGTTTTAATGTAATTAGAATACATACTCTTTATTATATTTTATGTAATTAGGTAATACGGGAATAACGGCCGGGCTAGGAATAACAGGAATCCAAAATCGCAAGAATAAACAACGCTTGGGTAACCTGATATTATAGAAAAAAAAATAAAAACATTGAATACATTCAAGGAGAAGTAACAGACAGAGTTAATCAATTAAAGTTTCTTATTTTTTAATACAAAAATATGTATATATTGGTTCAATGCAGTACCAAGAAACGTGCATTGGAAGTCACATTGTGGAGGAAACCTTGGGGTGGAGGAACCCAACAATTGCGAGGACGGTGTTGAGCCTCGATGAAAATGATGTCCGTGATGACGCAGTCTGACTACCGGCCAGATATATGAAGAGATGAAGAGATTGTTATTCTTGACACGAACTGAAAAGCCTGCTGGAATCGGTATTAAAAAGTGTTTTTTTTTGCGGATTCTCCTGCAATTTAAATATGCCCGATAACCTAACGTGTCTCGATCTCTTTTTAGCGCATTATCTCATATTTGGAAAAAAGCGCTATTGTGCTCGTCGTGGCCGTCCGTGACTTCACGTCCGTCGATCCGTCCGCGACTTCACGGAAGGACGGACGAGAAAATGCACTCAATACGTATATGTCACTCACTGCAGTGGGTATACTGATCTAATTTTTTATGATATTTGTTTGTATCAATTCTTTGGAAGCAAATTGTTTTCACAAATTTTTTTTCATAACACATACATATAACACATCTCGTCGCTGAAGCAGCTGTTCAATCAGTAATTTCGTAACCGACTCTCCCAGTAATTATACTAACTGATAAGTTAAGGTTGGTGGATTTAAAAATTTCAGAGCATGTAATACAAAATAAATTTTCAAGGCAGCACTGTATATAACGCTATTTTGCCACCAACGTTTGCTTTGAGGGGTATAATTTTACACGTGCAATCACATATATCGTTTTGACAAAATGGATTTTTGTCGTGTGCAAGCTAGCATGCGGGCTTAATTCAACGAAGGGAATAGCATATGGATGACGCAAAATATGTAGCTTTTTGTCAATACGAAAGCATCTTAAGTGTGAGCAGTAAATAATGTTCTGGGTTTTAAAATTGGTATGATAAAACGAGTGATATACTTATATCGGACCTGTATAGAGAAGTTATATCTATATAGCTGGCTGCTTCAGGGGCTTTAAGCTAGTGGCGGCCAGTCGCTGAACAAGTGACAAATTAACGGCCAAATCCGTCCGAAATTTTCATTAACCAGACTTTTAATTTGCAACTGATGAATATATCGATCTCATCAGTTGGGAGCAATCCGTTATATAAATGAGTGAAATTAGATAACCTCCCTTGACGGAGAGGTTCTCGGATGAGCATATAAACGATTTCGTTTATCAAAAACATTGGCTGGATATTCCGGAGTTAATTGTTACTCAAGAGCAATGAAAAACAATGCATAGAATTAGTGTCACAGACGTCACTAGCAGTTTGTGGATGACGCATAAAGGATTACATTAAAAAATTTAACAATACTTTAAAACAAATAATCGAGTCTAGAAGATGAATGAGTTCGCTCGACGCCAATAAAATTTTTTCTCGTTACAAACGTTGCACTTCAAGTCAGTGCCTGTGAAAAATATATCTAGTTACCTCAATCTTGAACAATTACGTACGGGTTTTAATGTGATTTTCTAAACAAATTTTTCATTAAATTAATTGGAATTGAGCTTAAAGACAGTCATATAGCTGGAACTTAACTTTAAAATTAGCAACCATTCAATATAATTAGCACCCATGAAATTACGTTAAAATCTTAGGCTAAATTGTTAATAATAATTTCATAGATGAACATGTTAAATATTGTTGGTTTTTCTTGTAATGTTACTCAAAAGAAATGTGAATGACAATATTTAGGCGTCTCACATCTACTATTTAGCTGTCTCATATTTACTAAATTAGGCGTCTCGCATTTAATATTAACAGTCTCACATTTACTATATGTACCCGCCTCTCATTTACTATTTTGCCGTCTCTCATTTACTATTTAGCCGTCTCACATTTACTATTTCGGTGTCTCACATTTACTATTAAACCGTCTCACATTTACTATTAATTTTAGCCGTCTCACGTACATTTACTATTTAGCCGTCTCACATTCACTA